GAGAGCTCCTCCAGGTGTAGCACGCTCAGGCTCAGCACCCCCAGACTCAGCACCCCCAGACTCAGCACCCTCAGGCTCAGCACCTCCAGGCTCCGCACCTCCAGGCTCCGCACCTCCAGGCTCAGCACCCCCAGGCTCAGCACTCCCAGGCTCAGCACCCCCAGACGCAGCACCCCCAGGCTCAGCACCCCCAGACGCAGCACCCCCAGGCTCAGCACCCCTAGCAGGACGAGAGTCAACAGCTACCTCGACAGGCTCACCCGGGTCTACCTGGGACACACCTGAGGGAGCGGCACCCTGAGGGGGGAGGGGGTCTGGTACCTCAGCACCTGGAGCGAGGAAGAGAGGCGGGGGGGGGGAGCGGGGCAGTGCGGTAGGGGAAGAGGCGGTAGTAGGGGACGGACTCGTCAAAAGTGACGTCCTGAGAGGCCAGGACACGACGCGAGGTGGGGTGGTAGAACTGCCAACCAGGGGCGTCCGGGACAAAGCCAAGGAAGACACAGGGGACAGCGCGACGGGAGAGCTTGTCCACGGACGTGTCGCGGACAAAAGCTCGGGATCCCCAGACCCGAAAACGCGACGCATCGCCAGCCTCTCCCGTCCAACGCAGTGTCGGAGAAGTCTCGGGCAAGGAGACACGGGGCCAGAGGTTGAGCTGATGCGCAGCGTATCGGACCGCAAACGGCCACAGAAAATGGGGGGCAGCCGCATGACTCAAGGAGGTACGAGCGACCTCCATGACTAGACCAATGCGGCGCTCAGCAACCCCATTCTGCTGTGGAGAGGCCGGAAGCGTGAACGACTGCGCAATGCCCTCCTGCTGACAGAAGGCCTCCAGGAGGCCAGAGGAAAACTCCCCACCTCTGTCAGAGTGCAGACGCAGGACAGGAAAGTCGGAGCGGAAACGCCTGGTGAGCTGGAGACGAGATCTGCGGATCCAAGGGATCAAGACATCAGGGACGTCACCCTTGGTGCGCAAGGGGAAGACCGTGGTGTAGCGCGAGAAGTCGTCAACAACAATCAGGAAGTACCTCTCCTGACCCTGTCCACGGACGCGGGCTGGGCCCCACACGTCCAAGTGGAGCGTCTGCAAGGGAGCAGTCGTCGGGGGAAAGGAGGAGGAGTGAGGAGCGGCGCGCTGCCGCCCCTCGACACAGGGAATACAGGGAGGAGCAGGCGAGTCGGGAAGGGGAGGGAGCACCCTGGGAAGACCAGCAACAAGGTCCCGTTTGTGCATGGCCCGAAGGCGCTGCACAGACGGGTGACCAAGGCGGTGGTGCCAAAGGACAGTCTCATGCGCCAGAGAGCGACATGAGCAGGGGGCGGACAGCTGACCTGACGCAGACGCAGACGTAGACGCAGACGCAGCTACCTGAGGGGACTCAGTGGTCAGTGTGTACAGGTCCGACCCCGGCTCTCGAGTGAAAGTAGCCAGGTGGCGACCCGTCCGAGCACACGTGCAGTGTGTCACGCGCTCGTAGGCAGGGGTGAACTGGTGAACACCCGAGTCCTGGAGCGCACAACCCGCCACCAAGTTCGTAGAGAACGAGGGGAGGTAGAGACCTGAAAGCGTGCCGGACGGGACCGCAGGACAAGGAAGAACAGTGGAGGAGGTCGCAATGACCGGACCCCCAGAGGGGTCAGCAAGGGAGACAGCAACTGGCCGAGCGAGTGGCTCAAGGACAGTGCGGTCACGAAAGAAAGAGCGAGAGGCACCTGAGTCCAGTGTGAAGGTGTGCAGTGCTGCAGTCGACTCAGTACCAGGGGGCACGGACGCACTAGCACCTAGGGCAGCAGCCTCACCAGGACCTGTGGGAGCGGACGCACTAGCACCTAGAGCGGCAGCCGGACTGGCCTGAATGCCCGGGTCGGGCGGAACACGCAGGTACTGAGCACCCTCTCCACTAATAGACATCACATACATGGCAGTGAGAATAGCATCAAAGTCTAGAGCCCAAATATCAACACCCCTCTTTTCCAGCTCAGCCCAGCGCGGCAGCTCACTGGCAGTGGGAAACTGGGTGCGCCACGCGTCGTTAAGGCGCGCGAAGCAGCGCTGCGTGGGGTGCGGCCTCCCACACTGCTGGCCGCTGCAGTCACCTGTGCGAATGACGTACGTGCAGGTAAAGCCGCGCTGCGCATACCACTCACGGGCGGCCTGAAGCGTCGGGGCGGGCTGCTGACTCTGGCCTCCGCCAGTGCCTCCACGACCACCACCCCCACCGCCTCCGCCCCGGCCACCTCCACCCCTGCCGCCACCACGACCACCTCCGCCTCCGCCGCCGCCTCCGCCCCTGCCACCACTCCCGCCGCTGCTGTCTCCTCCCCCACTGCCGCCACTAGCCTCCTCAGCCGCGCCTCCACTCCCACCGCCTCCACCCCCACCTCCTCCGCTGCCACTCCCACCCCTGCCCCCCTTGCTCTTGCGGCGCCCGCTCGAAGCAGACGCGGTCCCGACCTTCTCAGCACCAAGGAGGTCGACAGCAGCAGCAGAGGCGACAGAGGGGAGGAGGGGGGAAGGGGAACACCCCTCAAAGAACGGGGTGCGGGGGTCGCCACGAGAGGTGCCTACAGCGACGATGCTCGCCTCAGCTGCAAGCAGTTCCTTCTCGAGGAGGGCAATGGTGAGCTCAGTGGGGGAGCGAGAGAGGAAATGGTCCCTGACTGCGCGCAGAGAGTCAGGGAGGCGGGTGACAATGTGGTAGAGAGTGATCCAGAGCGGGGGGGGGTTGCTAGTGAGAAACTCGGCAGGCATAGCAGCGCGAAAGCGGGCCTCACTAGTCTTAAGGTGGGTGATGAGGTCTGCGACAGTGTGAAAGGAGGCTAGGTCGGGGAACAGGTAGGGGAGAGTGAGGCGGCCTAGCGTGGCAGAAGCGGGTGAGGAGTAGCGGGCAACTACAGCGGTGTAGAGGTCCTTAGCAGTCTTGCACTGCCCGAAGTGCTCGCGCTCGTCTAGCGGCAGGGAGTTGCGAATAGCAAAGCGAGCGTGCGCATCACGGGTCTGCCACTGGGAACGCAGAGTGCTGTCAGCAGACGAGTCAGGGGCAGTGGCATGGCCTAGGGCGTGGTCGTACAGTGAGATATCTTCCTTGGCAGTGAGCTGTAGGAACAGGTGCAGGTCATCTAGCCAGGTTTCGAACTTCACTGGACGGCCCTCGGCATCGAAAGCTAGAACGGGAGGACTAGCCATAGTGACAGTAGCAGTAGTAGGAGAAACAGTAGCGGTAGCAGTAGTAGCAGTAGGAACAAGGCCGCTGGAAAGGTGTGCGCAGGGTCAACGGGGCCGGCGTGGTGCACGAGCGGCAGTAGTAGGGAGCGCGACAGCAGGAGCTGCAGCGGCGCGCGACCGAAGGGCAGGGGCTGCGGCGCACTAGCGGTAGCGGGCGACTCGCGGGCGGCGGCTGCAGAGGCGCACGGGCGGCAGCGGCTTATGCGCACGGGTGACAGCGGCGTATGCGCACGGGCAGCAGCGCCGACAGCGCACAGGCGGCAGCGGCAGCGAGCGGTGCGCAAGCAGCAGCGGCAGCAGCGCACGGGTGGCAGCGGCGTCGGTGCACGGGCGGCAGCGGCGTCGGCGGACGGGCGGCTGCGGGCAACGGGCGTGCGGCAGCTGCGGCGGCGAGCTGCGGGCCTGCGAGACCACGGCGGGGTGTGCGCGAGCGGGCGACGGGCGGCTGCAGCAGCGGGCGCGTCAGCGAGGCGCACAGGCAGCGCGCGGGCAGCGTGCGGGCAGCGTGCGAGGCCGCGCGTAAAGAAAAAACAGCCGCGCGCGTGCGGCTAGCGGGGCGCGCGCAGCGAAATCGACCGCGCGCGGGCGGCTAGCGGGATACGCGCGCTAAAAAAAAAGGTCGAGTCGCGTGCGGGCGGCTGGTGGGCTGCGCGCGCGCGGTAGGTAGGAGGCGCACGAGGGCGCGTAGGCGCACGAGGCGCACGGTAGGTAGGTAGGTAGGTAGGTAACGGTGGGCCCTAAGAACGGTCCTAGCGAAGGACCTGCTCTGAAACCATGTCAGAATAACGGACTGGAATGGCTGTACTAACAGAAGGTTGGATACAAATAGGAAACCCTAATCCAGTGTACCCCCTAAGGTGTAACCCACTACAGCCTACAATCATATAAACATATAATGTTTGACAGTAGAGGCTGCGGTGGTAGAGCAGCTGCTGGGGAGGATGCTGCGTGCGGTATTGAAGGCTATTGTGATCAGGAGCGAGTACGGAAATGAGACAGTAAACCGAGAAGTGACTGTAGCGAAGACAAGGGGAGATGTCAGGGCAGCCGAGTGCCAAGTGAACCAGAAGGTAAAGCAATGGGTGAACCTGCGTGCAGTAATGAGGGCTGTTGTGATCAAGAGCGAGTATGGGAGGGTAGAGGGTGATGTGGCTAGCGTAGCTGGCCTGATAGGGCGGGCACTGTTTGTCAAGAGTGAGTACACAGTCGAGCAAGAGGGGTGCATGGGAAACGCAGCGAGGGCAGGCACTGAGGCTTGGTATGCACAGATGATTGCACATGGAGGTGAGGTGGGAGCGAGAAGCTATGAGTCGACTCAGAATTCACCTGAGGCTCGGCACACACGGGCAATTCCACATGGAGACTAAGTTGGAATATACGCGTTTTGAGTTTTGTACGCACGCGTGTATACGCTAGAGTATAGTACGCAATACGTCCAGAGAAGGCTTTGATATACGCTGGAAATACGGTGGTCCGGGCAGGGGAAAAACTTTCCCGGGCAGGGTAAAAAAAAGGTTCTGGAGAGGGGAGGGGGAGGGGGCACTTATCACCCATACCTCTTCCCTCCCCAGATTTTTTTCCCCATTAAATAACATGCAAATACATATCAAATTCCAGGTGGCCTGCACCCCCTTCAATGCCCAACTACTCCCACAAAGAGCAACTACCGTCTCCCCATCATACCCCCTCCCTTCCCTCCCTCATCCTTTGCAAATCTAGCCTTATACTATCCCACTCGTACTCCTTACCTCTCTGCTGTCCACGCCCCTTTCTACTCAACATACTCATCCTGCATCACGTCATCCTCCCCCTCCTCCACCTCCTCCTCCCGATCTTCCTTGTACCCCTCAGGGATGGGAGGCTCCGGAATGTTCCCCGGCAATGCCTCCATCCCCTCCTCGGCCTTGTGCCAGTTGTGCACAATGTTCCAATTGTGCGCAACAAACACTAGGTCGCGGCATTTTTCAGACCCCAACCTGTTGCGCCGTGCGGTGTGGACAGCGTCCCACATAGCCCAATTCCGCTCGCATGCAGCGGCGGAAACGGGCTGGGAGAGGACCCGGCAAGCCAGGGCAGTCAGCTCTGGGTTGTCGGTGCCGTGCAAGGTCCACCACTGGACTATGGTCTTCTTCCCTGCCTTGACGAGCTCACGGTCAGAAATCGCCTCAGGCAGGCCGAAACTTCCCTGAAGCGTCATGAATGCCTCCAGCCCCTCCTGCAGGACATGGGCGGCCCGGCGCTCCTCACCATCCTTCCGCGTGATGGTGATGCCGTCGTAGTGGCGGTTGATGTAAGACTTGAAGATGCGGGTGCACTCCAAGTCGCTGCGGAAGATACTTGGTTGAGTGAGGGGGTTCAGGATCCGCCCCACAACATGCATGGCACATGCCATACTCCCATCCCAGCGGCGGCCCACGATCTTGGTAATCTCCGTCTTGTCAGCCCGGGTCAGCACCTCGTCCGCCTCTTCAAGCTTGGCGTTCACATCTTCAGTGAGTTGAAGCATCATGTCGTAGATGCGCCCCATCATGCCTTTCTTGGTTGAGTCGGTGGCGCGCATCACGACGAACGGCAGCTTCAACAATGCGCTGAAGTAAGAAGCCTTCTTCCACCACGGGTCATCCATGATGTTGGACTTGAAGCTGGCGGCGCCTTCTTTCCTTGTTTTCGCAAACTCCACCCAATCCTCGCTCAGCACCATCTGCACGAGAGAGACCCGCACCTCACAAAGCCGAGAAACAGCAATAAACTGCGTGCCAAACCTTGTGCCCGCCGGCTTCAGCACTTGCTTCCCTTTTCCCCCCTGCACTTGCGGGCTCCTCAGGTACCCGCGGGTGAAGTGATGGCTACGCACGTAGGTGATGATCTCGTTGGCCCGCTCCACGACGTTCTTTGCCCAATCCATCCGCCCCACATCCTCCATGAGCAGGTCCATGACGTGCGTCGCGCACGGCACGAACTCAATGTGGGGCCACTCAAGCGCCAACTCCTTGAAGGCGCTTGCGTAATTGCTCCCGCCGTCCACGCAGAGAGACACCACGTGCTCGGGGCCGACTTTCTTCACAATGGGGCGGAGGACGCTGGCGATGTAGGACCCCGTCTTCTGCTCCAGCTTGCAATCGACGCTCTTGGTGAAGACCGCGCCGTAGTCGTTGATGAGCAAGACGTTGGCCTGGGGGCGGCCATTCTTGTCGGTCATGATGTCGGACGAGAGCGTGACACCGTCACGCTTCCAGCTGGCGACGATCGGGGAAAGGCCTTGCTCAATCCTCTTGCGGGTCTTCTGCAATCCCGCACCTCCGACGTAGCGGCGACGAGGGGGAACGTAACCTTTTGGCGCGTTGTTGATGCAACGGACAGCGTTCCGCCACAAAACGTGGTCCGCGTGGTGCTCCGGGAGGCGCAGGCCGGCCCACAAAAGGCAGATGGCGTCGTCCGCATCTGTCTTCGCGCAAGCAGCCGCGTCGCCATAGGTGTCGCTGATGCGGGCTTGTTTCGCGCGTCCAGAAACAGCCTCCAGGGCGAACTCCTCCGCTTGCCGCTTGAAGTCGCGAGAGGAATGCTTCTTCTCGTAAAAAGCACGGATTTCGTTGCGGGCCGTTGAAGGAGCAGCATTGCAGAGGCGCACCTAGCGGCGACGCATGCCCTTCCAGGTGACGATGTGCTGCGCGCAGCGGTAGGCTCCGCCGACGAACTCCAGCTTGCAATGCTTGCAAATGCGCGGAACGCCCTTCACGCCCTCGCGGATGGGGACGCGAAAGTGCTTGAACACCACGTGGTTGGTATCGGGCTGAAACTCCTGCGCGGTGGAGGCCTCGGCGCTTGCATCCGCACCAGCGGTGCCACTCGCGGGAGTGGAAGTTGGAGTAGACATGGTAGTTGTGGCTAGAAAACTCTGAGAGCTGGAGGTAGAAAGCGCTGAAAGTGGAGTAGAACAATAGCGAATGAAAATTGGGTGGAGAAAGCTCACCTTCTATAGCCGTGAGCAGCTTTGCTGGTGGACTGATGGGTTGGAAGTGAGAGAGATAAGCTGGGTTTGAATGCGGTAGGAACATGTGTAGCTTTCAAATTTTGAAAATTGGGAGTTCATTGGTGTCCGCGACGTGCGAACAATGTTGTGCGAATCGCGAACTCGAAATTTGCAACTTTTGTTTTTTTTTTTCGCCCGGGCTGCCCGCAATATATCGAAGCGTACATCTAGCGTTTTGCGTTTTTGCGTGTATACGCTAGCGTACAAACGCAGTACGCTTACAAACCCAAGCGTATATTCCAACTTAGCATGGAGATGAGGTGGGAGCGAGAACCTTAATGACGGCTGGTCGAGGGAGAGGTGGTGGAGGGGGAGAGCGAGGGGGGAGCAATGGATGGATCCCATGTTCACGCTTTCCGTGAAGAATTGATTGAGGCAGGTGTGAGAGGTGGTGCGAGTAGTGTCAAACATATATGCTGCATATTGTCTAGGCTGTAGTGGGGTAGCCCATATGGGGTACAGCCCAATTAGGGTTTACTACTTGTACTCCTGCATGCTGCTAGTTCATTCATTCCTGCTGCTAGATTCTGACATGGTTTCAGAGCACTAAGGTCCGTAGGACCGTTTTTTTTTCGGGCCCACCTACCGCTGCGGTTACCGCGCTACCCCACGTACCTGCCTGCCTTGCCTTGCCTTGTGACGTGCTGCACTATGTGCGCCGTCCAGCAGCCCTAGCGCTGCCTCCTGCTGCCCTAGGCCAGCGCGCTGCCCCTAGAGGCCCGTAAGGCCCGCGCAGCCCCTAGAGGCCCGTAAGGCCCGCGCAGCCCGCACAGAGCCCGCGCAGCCCGCGCCGAGCCGCGCGCAGCCCGCTGCAGCCGCGCGCAGCCCGCACAGAGCCCACGCAGCCCGCGCCGAGCCGCGCGCAGCCCGCTGCAGCCGCGCGCAGCCCGCACAGAGCCCACGCAGCCCGCGCCGAGCCGCGCACAGCCCGCTGCAGCCGCGCGCAGCCCGCACCGAGCCGCGCGCAGCCCGCTGCAGCCGCGCGCAGCCCGCAGCTGCCGCGCGCAGCCCGCGCCGAGCCCACGCAGCCCGCGTCGAGCCGCGCGCGGCCTGCTACGGCCTCGCGAGGCCCGCGCGCGGCCCGCAGCAGCCCGCGCCGAGCCGCGCGCGGCCTGCTACTGCCTCGCGCGGCCCGCGCGCGGCCCGCAACAGCCCGCGCCGAGCCGCGCGCGGCCCGCTACTGCCTAGCGCGGCCGCGCGCGGCCTGCAGCAGCTCAGCGCGCTGTCAGCGCAGCCCGCGCCGAGCCGCGCGCGGCCCTCTGCCTCGGCCACGACCTGCCGCTGATGCGGCCCCGCCCTGCAGCTACCACGGCCCCGACCTGCCGCTGATGCGGCCCCGCCCTGCAGCTGCCACGGCCCCGACCTGCCGCTGACGCGGCCCCACCCTGCTACTGCCGCTGAAGCGGCCCCGCCCTGCAGCTGCTTCGGCCCTGCTCTGCAGCCGGTTTTGCGGCCCCGACGCCGCCGCTGTCGTGCGCCTACTCGGCCGCCGCCCGTCGAGCGCCGGCCCTGCTCGCCCGGTGAGCGCCTGCTCTCCCAGCCTTTGGTGAGCGCCTGCCTGCCTGCCTGACGGCCTGCCTGTCTGCCTGCCTGCCTGCCGGCCTGGCTGCCTGCCTGCCTGCCGGCCTGCCTGCCTGCCTGCCGGCCTGCCTATCTGTCTGCTTGCCTGCCTGCCTGCCTGCCGGCCTGCCTACCTGCCTGCCTGCCTGCCTGCCTGCCTGCCTGCCTGCCTGCCTGGCTGCCTGCCTGCCTGCCGGCCTGCCTGCCTGCCTGCCTGCCTGCCTGCTTGCCTGCCTGCCTGCCGCGCCTGCCTTGCCCGCGCTACTGCTGCTGCTACTGCTACTGGCAGGTGGCCAGATGCAGCTCCAGCGACGTTCACGCGAGCCTCTGACGCCCCAGCAGCTTAGTGAGTGGTATACTAGCTGGGGTTGTCGCAGTAGCCGTCGTAGCTGTCGCCCTGGAGCTGGTCAGTTGGGAGCGTCTGGCAGTGGCCAGCTGCAGCTGCAGGGGCGTCCACGTGAGACACTTACGCCCCGGCAGCTCCAGGAGTGGTACGCTCAGTGTAGCAGGTCTACGCGTACAGTTCGCTGCCCGTACGTCATTCGCACAGGTGCTAGGACTGGTCAGCCTTGTGGGACGCTTGGTCACACACAGTCCCGCTGCTTCGCCCGTCTGAGCGACGACTGGCGCACAGTGTTTGGCGACGAGGCTGAGCTCCCCACCTGGCTGGAGCTGCATGGACAGAGGGTAGATATCTTTGCGCTTGACTATGATGCTATTCTCACTGCCATGTATGCATTGCCTACTAGTGCTGACCGTGCCTGTTACCTGTGCGTACCGCCTGACCCTGGTGAGGCTGCTGCTCTAGGTGCTAGTGCGTCTCCTGCTCTAGGTGCTGGTGAGGCTGCTGCTCTCGGTGCTAGTACGTCTACTGCTCTAGGTACTGGTGAGGCCGTGGCTTCAGGTGCTGGTGAGTCTGCTCTCTCTGGTACTGCGCCCACTGCGGTCTCGCACACCTTCACCCTTGACTCAGGAGCTTCCCGCTCCTTCTTTCGCGACTGCACCACACTCACGCCGCTTAGTCGGCCAGTTCCAGTCTCCCTGGCGGACCCCTCCGGGGGTCCAGTCCTTGCCCACTACTCCACGGTTCTGCCGTGTCCGGCCGCCCCGTCCGGCTCGCTGTCAGGTCTTTACCTCCCCTCGTTCTCTACGAACTTGGTGAGTGGAGCTGACCTCCAGGATCGGGGGGTTGACCAGTTCACTCCTGCGGGTCAGCGAGTGACTCACTGTACGTGTGCTAGGACGGGCCGGCACTTGGCCACGTTCACCCGTGCACCTGGCTCGAGTCTGTACACACTGACCACTGAGTCCCCTCAGGTAGTTGCGTCTGCGTCTACGTCTGGTCAGCTGGCGGCCCCCTGCGAGTGTCGCGCTTTGTCGCACGACACTCTCCTGTGGCACCACCGCCTTGGTCACCCCTCCTTGCCTCGCCTGCGTAGCATGCACTCTCGCTCCCTGGTCTCTGGTCTTCCCAGGTCTCTGCCTGCCCTCCCTCCCTCGCCTGCGCCGCCCTGCATTCCTTGCGTCGAGGGGCGGCAGCGCGCCGCTCCTCACTCCTCCTCGTTTCCTCCCACAGAGGCTCCACTGCAGACGCTCCACCTGGACGTGTGGGGCCCAGCCCGCGTCCAGGGACAGGGCCGCGAGCGGTACTTCCTGCTGGTCGTCGACGACTACACGCGTTACACCACGGTCTTCCCCTTGCAGAGCAAGGGGGACGTCCCTGATGTTTTGATCCCTTGGATCCGCACTGTTCGTCTCCAGCTCCGCGAGCGTTTCCAGCGGGACTTTCCTGTCCTGCGTCTGCACTCTGACAGAGGTGGTGAGTTCTCATCTGACCTCTTGGCAGCCTACTGTGCGGAGCACGGCATCACCCAGTCGTTCACGCTTCCGGCCTCTCCACAGCAGAATGGGGTTGCTGAGCGCCGCATTGGCTTAGTTATGGAGGTCGCTCGTACCTCCATGATCCATGCGGCTGCCCCCCATTTTCTGTGGCCGTTTGCGGTCCGGTACGCCGCGCATCAGCTCAACCTCTGGCCCCGTGTCTCCTTGCCGGAGACCTCGCCCACACTGCTGTGGACGGGGAAGGTTGGCGATGCGTCGCGTTTCCGGTTCTGTGGTGCTCGTGCCTTTGTCCGCGATACCACCGCGGACAAGCTCTCCGCCCGCGCTGTTCCCTGTGTCTTCCTTGGCTTTGTCCCTGACGCGCCTGGTTGGCAGTTTTACCATCCCACCTCGCGCCGTGTCTTTGCGTCTCAGGACGTCACGTTCGACGAGTCGGTTCCCTTTTACCGTCTCTTCCCCTACCGCACTGCCCCGCTCCCCCCCCCCCCCGCCGCTCTTCCTCGCTCCAGGTGCTCCCCAGGTAGACCCCCTCCCCACTCCTGGTCCTGCTCCTTCAGGTGTTTCTCAGGTAGACCCTCCTCCCTTGACTGCGCCGGTTGAGGTCACTGGTGACTCAGGTCCTACTGAGAGTGGTCCTGCTCGGGGTGCTACTTCTAGGGGTGCTGAGCCTGGGGGTGAGGAGCCTGGGGGTGCTGAGCCTGGGGGTGCTGAGCCTGAGGGTGCGGAGCTTGAGGGTGTGGAGCCTGGTGGTGCTGAGCCTGAGTGTGAGGGGTCTGGGGGTGCTGAGCTTGGCGGTACTGACGCTGGAGGTTCTGGAGCTACTGAGGGTGCTGGCGCTGGAGGTTCGGGAGCTGCTGGAGGGCCTAGTACTGGTGGCGCTGGAGCTGGAGGTTCTGGAGCTGCTGAGGGTGCTCGTGCTGGAGGTTCTGGAGCCGCTGGAGGTACTGGTGCTGAGGGTACTGACACCGGAGGTTCTGGAGCCGTTGGGGGTGCGGGCGCTGAGGGTTCTGAGTCTGCTGTTGCGCGGTCTCCTTGGAGTAGCCGCCTTCGTCCGCGTGTGCCTCTCACCCCACAGCAGCTGCAGGACTGGTACGGTCGCCGTCAGCGTCGCGCTGCTGGAGCTAGGAGTGGTGCTGGTCCTTTGTCTACTGGAGGTGCTGGAGTCGCTGGTTCTGGAGGTGCTCGTGCTGGAGACACTGAGGCTGGAGACCCTGGGACTGGAGGTGCTGGTTCTGGGGGTGCTGCTGTTGGAGACACTGAGGCTGGAGACCCTGGGACTGGAGGTGCTAGTTCTGGGGGTGCTGCTGCTGGAGACACAGAGGTTGGAGACCCAGAGACTGGGGGTGTCGGCTCTAGGACTGGAGCTTCTGGAGCTGCTGGAGGTACGGGAGCTGCTGGAGGTACTGGAGCTGCTGGAGGCACTGGAGCTGCTGGAGCTGCCGGTACTGGTGCAGCTGCGCCGACACGACTGTTCTTCGCTCCGCCGTCTCCGTCGTCTCTGCCGCCGCCTGACTCTGCTCTTCGTCAGGTTGTTACTCTCCCGTCGTCTACTGGTCTTCCGTTACAGCCTGGCTCACCGCTACCTGCTCCCTCTCCTTACACTGAGCAGACAGGCAGTCCTGCTACGCGTCGTGAGCCTGCGTCGCGTCCTGTCTCGCCTGCTCGTTCTGGTCGTACCGTTCGTCGTGTCGCTCGTGCGCGTCAGCCGGCTGTCCCCAGCGCACGCCTCGTAGTCCGTCGTCCTTCCTCTGCTCCGCAGCCTGTTCCTCTGCCGTCCCCCCCTGCGTCCTCTCTGCCTGCCGTTCCGAACCCTGAGTCTGACCGGTTTCGTACTGAGCACCCTACTGTCACGCGTCTCCTAGCCACTGTTGTCACTGACCCGTCGTTTGAGTCTACTGCTGCGTCTGCCTTGGTCGCTGAGCTTGTTGACTTTGCTGCTGCCTGTCGTCTAGACTACGCCGCCAGTCTTGTTGCTGAGTCTGATTCTGTCTGTCCTCCGTCCGTCGGGGGTGAGTGTGCTCTTGGCACGGACGTCCTTGAGGACAGGCAGGAGGAGTTCCAGTGTCTTGCTGCTGCTTTACCTCATCTTGTGTCCTCGCTACTTGCCCCTGAGGGAGACCCGGATGCACCAGACATCCCGACTCCGCGCTCTTACGCAGAGGCGATAGAGGGTCCCTACTCCTCTCAGTGGCAGGCAGCCATGGACGCAGAGATGGCTTCCTGGAAGTCCACAGGCACCTACGTTGATGAGGTTCCCCCACCTGGGGCGAACATCGTCAGTGGCATGTGGATTTTCAGGGTGAAGCGGCCGCCGGGTTCTCCGCCTGTCTTCAAGGCGCGTTACGTGGCTCGAGGCTTCAGTCAGCGAGAGGGAGTTGACTTCTTCCAGACCTTCTCCCCCACCCCGAAGATGACCACTCTTCGGGTGCTGCTGCATGTTGCTGCTCACCGTGACTACGAGCTTCACTCTCTTGACTTCAGCACAGCTTTCTTGCAGGGCAGCCTGCACGAGGAGATCTGGCTGCGCCGCCCCCCGGGCTTCACTGGGTCGTTCCCTCCTGGCACCCAGTGGAGCCTCCGGCGGCCGGTCTACGGTCTCCGCCAGGCGCCACGTGAGTGGCACGATACACTGAGGACTACGCTTGCGGCTCTTGGGTTCGCGCCTTCTACTGCTGACCCGTCGCTGTTTCTGCGCACCGACACTTCACTGCCGCCGTTCTACATCCTCGTGTACGTCGACGACTTGGTTTTTGCCACTGCTGACACTGAGGCTCTCGCCCACGTGAAGTCGGAGCTGCAGAAGAGACACACGTGCACAGACTTGGGTGAGCTGCGCAGCTACCTTGGCTTGCAGATCACCCGGGACAGAGCACGCCGCACCATCACCTTGACTCAGTCACACATGGTGCAGCAGGTCCTTCAGCGCTTCGGCTTCTCCTGGTCCTCAGCACAGGCCACTCCTCTGGCTACAGGTCACTCGCTCTCAGCTCCACCTTCGGACGAGTCCGTAGAGCCGAGTGGTCCTTACCCAGAGCTAGTTGGCTGCCTCATGTACTTGATGACTTGCACTCGACCTGACCTCGCGTACCCTCTTGGTCTTCTGGCTCGCTACGTGGCTCCTGGTCGGCACCGACCTGAGCACATGGCTGCTGCTAAGAGGGTACTGCGCTACTTGTGCAGCACATCAGGCATGGGGCTAGTGCTTGGAGGGACGAGCCCAGTTGTCCTCACTGGGCATTCAGACGCTTCTTGGGTTGACGACCAGGCTACTCAGCGGTCGTCACAGGGTTACACCTTCAGCCTTGGCTCTGGTTCAGTTTCGTGGCGTTCTACACGCTCGTCTTCAGTTCTCAGCTCCAGTTGTGAGGCTGAGATCTACGCCACAGCCATGGCTGCATAGGAGTTACGCTGGCTCACCTACCTGCTGACTGACTTGGGAGAGCAGCCTCGTTCTCCTCCAGTGCTGTACGTCAACAACAAGGCCGCCATTGCCTTGTGTGAGGAGCACAGACTGGAGCACAGAACGAAGCACATTGCTCTACGTTACTTCCTGGCTCGAGAGTTGCAGCAGCGAGGCCAGCTTCGTCTTCGTCACGTGGCCACCCGGGCCAACACTGCTGATATATTCACCAAGGCACTTCCGTCCGGTGATCATCAGCGCTTTTGTACCCTGTTAGGCCTTGTGCCTACGTTTCCACACTTGCTGTAGTCTCTGCTTGTACTGTGATCTATATATATACATGCATGCCTGCTCTTGCTAGGTAGTCATCACTGTACTGTTATTGTTGCATATATATCTCTGCATGTGGACTGGCCTTGTGGCCCTTTGCTTGTGCTCAGAATGTGTGGTGACGTTGAGATCCACCCTGAGCTTGCTTTGCTTCTCTTGATTGGTCGTTTGACCCCTTGTTCTTCCCCCCTTTGCCTATGAGGGTGTGTCAAACATATATGCTGCATATTGTCTAGGCTGTAGTGGGGTAGCCCATATGGGGTACAGCCCAATTAGGGTTTACTACTTGTACTCCTGCATGCTTCTAGTTCATTCATTCCTGCTGCTAGATTCTGACAAGTAGCACAGCGAAAGGTGTGGGTCTTACTAGTAGTAGACATATCACTAGCGAGGATTTGTGCGATGGATGTAACGAGGGGGATTGTGCAAAGGCGCAGATAGCTTTGGCTGGTCGCCACTGCAGCCGCAGCAGCAGCATCAGCAGCAGCAACTGGGGGAGGAGGAGGAGGAGGAGGAGGAGGAGCAGGAGGAGGGGCCAGGGGAGGCGGGACGGAGGCAGCTCACCCAGAAATGGCAGGGTCTGAAGCTGCTGGCGGGATCCCTTGGCTTCCTTGGAGATAGTCTTTCCTTTCAAGCCCCCCGGCAGCTGACACAGGCACAGGAACCGCTCGCTGTGAGGAGTGCAGATACAGGTACCACCTCCCCGGCAGCTGACACCTCCGAGTCCCTGAGAATTCTTCCCCAGGTGACCAGCACGACTGGATTCTGCGGAGGCTCTCTTAGGGATGAGAGGCGGGAGTTGGGTCAAATGGCAGAGATGGGGAGGGGAGGCACAGGAGAAGAGGTCAAGGCAGAGCATGCGAAGGGTATGGAAGAGTGGAGTGTACCATGTGCAATTTACAGTGGTGCTGACGAGCGTGATTTGTTGCCGCCATCTTCTGGCATGGTCACATTAGAACGAGGGATGTTACAAGGATTGGCACAGGTATGTAAAATGGCAAGCAAAGGGGGTGGGGTGCTGGAGGAGATAGTGATATGCATGCTAAGGGATGACAAAGAGGAGTTTATTCAGCAGAGTGGAGACCTGCTTTGGGACGCATTTGTTGACAGGCTTATTGAGCCTACGGAGGAATGCTACCACTTCTGCTATTGCCCGGGGGCTATCAGTTGCATGTAATCATGGTGGAATTCAGGCATGATTTATCTAAGTAATTATGCATCAAGTGTTGTTTTTGTAGTGAATTTGGAGTTTCCAGATACTGAATCATTTAAAAATCAGCCACATTCAAAACCGCCACGTTTGTGGGGTGGCTGGTGTCGTGTCAGGGAAATGACAACCACAAGTTCCAGCTGTTTGCCTGCTGGGTTCACACGAGCGTCGATTTCGGGGTCGAAATCAGGAAAGTTTCTGATTCGTGTCGTCCCTGCTAGTTGGTGTCATCATTGGCATACGTGTTGCAATAGGGTGTCCGCTGAAATTGGTTTAGAAATATACAACTACTGACCCTTAGCTAAGAGAGTCTGGGAGCGGGGGCCTGGTTTCAGTTGCCACTTTCCGCACAGCTCCGTAACATATCCAGACCATTCATTCCACCCATTGCCCGTTATTTGACTCAAGATCGTCGATCCTGCCCAACGGCCGCTTGTGTCGGCCGCATCTACTTCCAATCCATACAGTACCAGAAAAGCACAGCACGGAGGATTTGAAATTTGACTCTGCACAACCCACTTCACCGACTCACGCCCCTCAACAAATCATTATACCACACAACCGCCTCCGCAACGCCAGGCAGGGGATGTAGAGCAGCACGTGTGTGGCATCCACCCACCCACCAACCACCCTCCCAGTTCCCCTTACCTGAACGAGCGTACGTGACGCTTTCGCCGGCTCTGATGCTCCTATATAATTAGGGTTCCCAAGTAATACGTGGCTACCCAGACACACGCTTTCGGCGATAACCCGTCATAGCAGAGTGACGTGTCTGACGTATTCTCGTCGCGCGGGGGTCTATGTTAGCTGATTAATAGCCTATTGTGACTGTAACCACGGTTGTATCGTTCTCGCTGATTTGGCTCGTAGTTCGGTCAAGGTGTAACCATGTCAGGCTGCGAGGCAGCTGGCGTGGCGTCGACCGCCGTGGCGACAGTCGCGATGCCTTCGCGAGAGAATGGCGACGACATGGGCGAAGACCCGAAGCGCTTCGACTTCGGGTTCGCCTTCAACAACGCCGACTTTGCCGGTGCGCTATAGTCACATCCGGAAGGGCAGTGTCGCATTCGAGCGCAGTTGAACGTACCGTAGATTGCTCGGGTTTGAGTTACTATTCTCAGCAGCGTGAGATATAGTTCATACAAAAGGTTGAACGCTACGTATCAGTCCCGAAACGTCGTGCGTGTAAGACCGTCGATGCTCTCAGCAGACGCTAGTGACCACGTCAATTACCCTAATTGCGGGACGTTTGCACTTTCTGTGTGGGGTTGTTTCAGGCGTTGCCCAGTCCCAATTAGGGTTAATAACGCAAAGAAGTACAATTGCAAGACCACGCTGGTTCGCAAATGTAACGGATACGTGGAGAGGAATTAAACGTCGCTTTGAAATATTCGGGTTCCATCGAAGCCTCGACGGTTCGCTGTTTCGAACTGTTTCTACCACCGGCTTACTGACCGTGCCACGTGTCATCCCCCCCGCAGATCGCATCGTGCAGCTTCGGATTTGTCCCGACGAAGCTACAACCCCCCGTCGCTCCAGCAGCAGCGGAAGCTTCGGCGCTGCTTCCGGCGGCTCCCCGTCCCGCGGAGGCGGAAGCCCCCTTTCCCCCTCCGCCGCCGCCGCCGCCGTAGCCGCCGCGTCTGCCGCCGGGAATCTAGGAAAGAGATGTTCGTCTATCGGAGGGGAGCGGGGGGCATGGAGCGGGAGGGCGGCGGAAGCGATTGCGCGGATCTGATGGACATGTCGGGGGAAGGGGGGGAGGGGGAGGCGGAAGGGGAGGGAAGCGCGGGCGGGGGGATGGGGAGGGGGAAGGGGAGGGGCAGGTGAGAAGGTACTCGTTTGATGGCCGAGGGGGAGGGAGAGGCGCGAGCGGCGAGTTGTCGTTTCTAGCTGCTGTGAATAGTAATCCCCAAGGTGCGTATGGTGGTACAGTTATCATGGGCAACTTTATTTGAAAATACTTAAATTTTCCATCTTCCGTCCCCTTGTTGCCGTTTTGTTTGATTTCTTGCAGCCCTTAATGATGCTCTTGCAGCCCTTACGTCCTTTGCTTTGCCCCTGTTCCCCTTACATTCCTGTGCTGCCATTGCCCGTTTACTTGCTCCTCCCCTTCACGCCTCCCCTCTTTTTGCCTGCTAACTACACCCAACTTTGCTACCTCACAAATCCTTTTCCCTTTTCCCCTCACCCCCCTCCCCCCCAACCCCCCCCCACCCCCCCCCTTCCCCTCTTCCACCTTCTGCCTGTTCCCGCCCCTTCCCCACGTGTTTCCAGCCGTACCGCTGGCAGCAGGTTTGGGACCGGACCAAGCGGCAGCTCTGACAAGAGGCTCGGCAGGAGGAGGAGCTAGCCTCGGCAGCCGCCCTCACAGCCCCTTCACCACCACCAGCGGTGCTGCTGCTTGTGCCACCGCTGCTGCTGCTCCTGCTGCTGCTGCCGCTGCTTCTGCTGCTGCTGCTGCTGCTTCTGCAGCTGCTGGTGGTGCTGGTGCAGGTGCGGTTGGCAGTGCTGCTATTGCTGCTGCAGTGGTAGCAGCGGGGGTTGTGGGAGCAGCAACCAGAGCCCCCAGATTCGGCAATCTAGGAGCTTCAGGGCTTGCGCCTTTCGAGTCAAGCCAAAGGCCAGTAGGAGGGGCGGCGGTGGGGACAGGGACGTGTGGTGGGTGCGGCTTGGGAGGGGGCGGCAGCATCACTGCCCACCTGGGCGGCAGTAGCGGAAATCTGGGCGGCAGAGGGGTGGCGGTGGTGGCGGTGTGACGATAGGGAGTTGCGGGGGGTACAGAGTGGTGAATTTGCATTTGTCCTCGGTGGTGCTGGCAGCCAAGTCTGCCTTCTTCCGCACGCTCTTCACGTGTGGCTTTAAGGAGACCTGCCAGAACAACCCTGTCGTGCTCAATGTCTCGCCAGAAGGTAAGATAAGATGTTCTTTCCATGCTAGACCAGCTGCAGTATCACTCCACCGCCTGCCTTGACTTGTCACTCTATCATCATGTCGGTGGTATCATCCCGATCCAATCCTCATTAACCTCTCCCATTGCGCACAGAGGAAGGCTCAGTGATTGATCTCCTCCGCTTCAACTACACGGGAGACATGCAGGAGTGCAGCAGCTACCCGGAGGAGGGGCACCCCGCCTTCACCACTTCAGAGGACATAATTAAGATGTTCCTCTCACTCCCTTTCTCCCCAATGTTCCCTCCCAGAAGAAGGCCCGAAAATAGATCTCCTTAAATTTATCTACACAGCCGACGCGACATGCAGGAAGGCGGCATCGACCCAGAGGACATTCATCAAGATGTACCTCTCACTCACTCCCTCGCGCCTCACTCTCCCCTCCTTGCCTCTCTCCCTCTCTCCCCTCTGTCACTAACAGAGGAAGGCCCAGTGATCGATCTCCTTCGCTTCATCTACACGGGCGACATGGCGGAGGGCAGCAGCGACCCCGAGGACATCATCAAGATGTATCTAGTAGCCGATAAGTTCGGCGTCGCCTCCTGCATGAAGATCTGCCTCGAGCGCCTCGTCAACCTCCCCATGACCGTCCCCACCGCCTGCCTCTACCTCTCGCTCCCCGACTCCATGCACTCGCATAGAGGGGTCGCGCAGCTGCTGGAAGCTTCCCGGGGGTTTCTGGTGGCACATTTTAGGGATTTGGAGCGCGTGCACAAGGGGGACGAGTTTCTGGAGCTGCCGTTGGTGGGCGTGCAGACGCTGCTGGCGAGTGATGAGCTGAACGTGCGGGACGAGTTGACAGCGTTTCATGCAATGGTGGAGTGGCTGAGACATCATCATGATGACCTGGACGACAGGAAGTGAGTGGCTTCGTCCTTCTCTCACTCGCTCTCTCACCCACTCACACACTCATTCTCTCGCTCGCTCACTTACTCACACCCACACAAGCGCACTCGCCACAAGGGGGATGAGTTTCTGGAGCTGCCGTTGGTGGGCGTGCAGACGCTGCTGGCCAGTGACGAGTTGAACGTGCGGGACGAGCTCACGGCGTTCCATGCCATGGTGGAGTGGCTCAGGCACCACCACGACGATCTGGTCTGGACGACAGGAAGTGAGTGTGGGTGCTCTGGCTGTTAGGGCCTTTACTTTACACCAGGGATGTGACGGAAATGCAATGCGAGGGGCGAGCTGACTGCGTTTCATGCCATGGTGGAGTGGCTGAGACACCACCATGACGATCTGGACGACAGGAAGTGAGTGTGCTCCGGTTGTTGTTAGGCCCTGTACGAGGGATGTGATGTGGGGGACATGCATTGTGAGGGATGAGCTCACGGCGTTCCATGCCACACTGGAGTGGCTGAGGCACCACCACGACGATTTAGATGATCCCAAGTGAGTGGTTTCGCCCGCTCTCACTCTCTCACGCACGCGCGCATGCACGCACACACGCAGAAGCACTCACTCACGCACACTTTCCCCCTCGTGTCAGGCAACGATGCCAAAGCCATGGTGCTGTCCTCGGCTCGTCAGCATCATGCCTAACCTAGATGCCCTTGTTGTTCACTCTCCACAAGACCTAGGCTTACAAGTTACACACCCCCTTCTTCCCTGTTTTTGTTTTGCCCTCATGACAGGCGACGGCCTTGAGGGTGCATAGTGTGTGCTCTCTTGTCCTCACCATCTTGCCTCCACGCTCTTGTTCCCTCTCCGCCACTCTTCACCACCTCCCACCACCACCACTTTCCACCACTCTCCACCGCAGGAGGGCAGTGGGTGCGTCTAGCGGAGCACGTGCGGTTCCCCGTCATGGCAGGCGACGACCTCGAGGGCGTGGTGCTCAAGGCACCCCTCTCTTCACCATCATCCCTAGCTTTGACACTCTTGTTCCCTCTCCACCACTCTCCTCTGCTCTCCACCGCAGGCGGGCAGCAGTGCGTCTGGCAGAGCACGTGCGCTTCCCCCTCATGACAGGAGACGACCTCGAGGACGTGGTGCTGTGCTCGTCTCATCTACTCACCATCATGTCTCAATGCCCTTGTTCCCTCACCACCACTCTCCACCGCACTCCACCACCAGGCGGGCAGCAGTGCGGCTAGCAGAGCACGTGCGCTTCCCCCTCATGACAGGCGACGACCTCGAGGACGTGGTGCTGTGTCCCACCATCACGCCTTGATGCCTTGTTTCCACCCCATACCACCGCACATCACCGCACACCACCACAGGCGGGCAGCGGTGCGTCTAGCGGAGCACGTGCGCTTCCCTCTAATGACAGGCGACGACCTCGAGGATGTGGTGCTCAAGGCACCCGAGGTGGACAGCCCAGAGTGCCAGGCGCTGGTGAGAGGCCGAGAAGGGGTGTATTGGTGGTTTGTAGTGGCTCGGCGCTGGTGAGAGGCCGAGAAGGGGTGTATTGGTGGTTTGTAGTGGCTCGGCGCTGGTGAGAGGCTGGGCGCTGGTGAGAGCTGGGCGCTGGTGAGAGAGGGATTAGGCAGCTAAGGACTATAAGAAGGCAAGTTGCTGGGTTACTGGATTCGATGGTGATCTCTATGCTCAAGTCAAGTCCAGGTCTCGCTAACTCCCCATCTTCCTCTTCACCCCCCCTCCAATCCTCCTCTCCCCGCCCGCCTCCTGTGTTCCATTTTCCGTGCCAGGTGAGGGAAGCAGCATGGTTCCGATCCGAGCATACCGCTTGGTGCGTCGCATGCGCCTCATGAACGAGACGGCCGCCACTCACGGGCCGACCCTCTCTCACCATCAACACACTCCCCCCTCCCCCTCCCCTCCTTTTCACCCCCCGCACCCCACCTTGCCTGTCTTGCTCTCCCGTATGTACCTGCCAGGTGAGGGAAGCAGCATGGTTCCGGGCATACAGCTTGGTGCGGCGGCTGAGGCTCATGAACGAGACGGCTGCCACTCACAGGCGCTTCTGGCAGCGCCGGTGGAACCGCAACTCCGTGGGGCACGTGTACTTCGATATTCACCTGGAGAGGTTTCAGGTGGGTGCCCTGTTGGTTTCAGGTGGGTTTCTGTTGGTTCCGGGTGGGTGCTCTGTTGGTTCCAGGTGGGTGCTCTGTTGTTTTCAGGTGGGTGCTCTGTTGGTTTCAGGTGGGTGCTCTGTTGGTTTCAGGTGGGTGCTCTCTTTGTTTCAGGTGGGTGCTCTGTTGGTTTCAGGTGGGTGCTCTGTTGGTGTCAGTCAGGTTTTGCGCCAATTTTGAGGCAATTATAATTCTGGTTTCGCACCAGTGCGCTCGCCTTCACCCGTGCAATAACAGCCGCTGCAAGAAAGAGTTTGGTTCATGTAGGATAGCTGAACATAAATCTAACAATTTTCCCTCTTAACCCCTTCCCTCCCCTCCCGTCCCCTCCGCTCCCCTCACCTCCTCTCTGCTCCCCTCCCCTCCCCTCCCCTCCCCTCCCCTCCCCTCCCCTCCCCTCCCCTCCCCTCCCCTCCCCTCCCCTCCCCTCCCCTCCCCTCCCCTCCCCTCCCCTCCCCGCCCTTTCCCTTTGCTCATTGTGTCCCTCTCTCATACTCCAGGCACTAGCAGTGGCAGCGACGGTGGAGTCTGCTACGTTTGGGATCGGTGGGAAGCGGTTCTACCTGTCAGCGCGGCACGGGCGGCGTGATGATGGCACGGAGACACTTGACATTCACCTGCACCTGGAGAACAGCCACAGCGTGCAGCCGGAGATACAGGTACGGTTCTGTTCGGTTGGGTTGGTTTGGACTGGGTTGGGTTGGGTTGGGTTGGGTTGGGTTGGGTTGGGTTGGGTTGGGTTGGGTTGGGTTGGGTTGGGTTGGGTTGGGTTGGGTTGGGTTGGGCTTGGTTGTATTGGGTTGGGTTGGGTTGGGTTGGGTTGGGTTGGGTTGGGTTGGGTTGGGTTGGGTTGGGTTGGGTTGGGTTGGGTTGGGCTTGGTTGTGTTGGGTTGGGTTGGGTTGGGCTTGGTTGTGTTGGGTTGGGTTGGGTTGGGCTTGGTTGTGTTGGGTTGGGTTGGGTTGGGCTTGGTTGGGTTGGGTTGGGTTGGGTTGGGTTGGGTTGGGTTGGGTTGGGTTGGGTTGGGTTGGGTTGGGTTGGGTTGGGTTGGGTTGGGTTGGGTTGGGTTGGGTTGGGTTGGGTTGGGTTGGGTTGGGTTGGGTTGGGTTGGGTTGGGTTGGGTTGGGTTGGGTTGGAGTCCAAACATGGGTGGGATGGCATGGCAAAGCAGGCGGCCGGAGGTAACCAAGGGCTTTGCACCCATGTTCACCCGCCAACACATCGTTTCCCCCTATGCCCCCTACTTCTTTCAGGTGAGCGTCATATTCTACGCCAAGCGTCGACTACTACCTGCGTGTGACCAAGGTTTTTGGCCCCCCTCCCCTCCCCTCCCCCCTCCCCCTCCCGCAACGTTTTCGTCTATCCCCCCTGATTCCTTTCAGGTGAGCTTCATATTCTATGCCAAGAGGTGGCCGGAGGGCCAGTTTGACTACCTGCGGGACCGTGTGACCAAGGGGTTTGGGCGCAACGCGAGCAACTGGGGGTACAGCAACATCCTGGGGCGGCCGTGGGCAGATGTGGTGCAGGACGAGAGCAAGTACTTTAAGAACGGCGTCATGTCCGTCTTTGCGGAGGTGCAAATACTAGAAGACGCTGGTAGGGGGCCGGTGGTTGGGGGTTAAACAGTGAGGGGGGTTGGCCAGGGCTCTCGGTATCAAGATGTGGTGCAGGGCAGGGCAGGAGAGCAACTGGGGGTACAGCAACATCCTGGGGCGGCCATGGGCGGATGTGGTGCAGGGAGGATGAGAGCAAGTACTTCAAGAATGGAGTCATGTCCGTCTTTGCTGAGGTGCAGATTCTAGAGGATGCTGGCAGGGGGCCCGTGGTGGGGAGTTAAACCCAAACACCGAGGGAGGTTGGTTGGGTCAGGGCTCTCCGTGGGCGGATGTGGTGCAGGGAGGATTAGAGCAAGTACTTCAAGAATGGCATCATGTCTGTGTTCGCTGAGGTGCAGATATTAGAGGATGTTGGTAGGGGGCCAGTGGTGGGGGGTGAGGGTGCGAGGGTGGGAGAGCGAGTGGGGCGGGGAGGGGGGGGGAAGAGAGAGGTTGAGGGGCTTGAAAGAGCAGATTTTGAAGGATGCTGGGAGGGTGCCGGGTGTGGGGGGGTGTGGGGGTGTGTGGTGAGGATCTGTTGTGGAGTGAAGAGTGTTGTTGTGTCGGTGTTTGCTCAAGCGCAGATGTTTGAAGGTGTCGGGAGAGAGCTGGTTGTGTGGGGGTGAGGATTGGATTGGAACGGGGTGTGGGGGCTAGAGAGGGCAGAGGAGAAAGGAGGTTTGAGGGGCTTCAAAGAATGCATTTTGAAAGGGGGGTTGCAGAAGGGCGGGTAGTTAAAGAAGCTGCGAGGGAGCCAGTTGTGTGGGTGGTTGAGGAGACGAGAAGAGAGGAGGAAATGGGGCCGTTTGAGGGGCCTTGAAGAAGCAGCATTGCTCCCGTGTGTGCTGTCTGTTGTGCAAATGCTCGAGGAATCAGGATGCTGGGAGGGAGACAGTGATGAGGGGTTAAACATGAAGGGAAGCTGGTGGAAACTCTCCGTATCAGTCAGTCAATCTTGCTGCAAGGTCTGGTCTGGTCTGACTAGTTGAGTTAATGGCAATGCCAATGAGACGTACAGGCCATGATAACACTGAAATTAGAGCAGGCCCTCAGAAGTCAGCGAAAAAAGGCTGATTAGGGGTAAAAAGCCTGTGATTTCAGCCGTATAGGGAGGCGTTGGGCTGTTGCGGCAGCTTTTTTTTGGGTTGCGAAGCAACCTATTACAATCGTTATGTACAATTTTTTTTTTTCATCCACGATATTTATAGAAGATGAAGAAAAAATGTTATGGACAATATTGTAAGTGACGACTATGTATTTACCCTGGCAATTTAGCTTGTGTGCCATGGTCGCAGGGCTCTCGTTATCAGACCAATTTGGTCTGATGGTCTGAATTTCAGACCTTCATTTTCCCTTTCATCTAATCTTTAAGACAGTGTTTTTTATTTCGTCTGATCCATAAGACCAAGGATTTTAGTTCGTCAGAATTTTCAGAGCATGCATTATACTTGGTCTGAGATTTCAGATAGCGAGTTTCGTTTTATCGGATACCGACAATTCTGCCCACGTAGTGATAGGTTGTCAGTTCTGGCAGGCACTTTGGTGGCTGTAATTGCACGTGTAGTACAGTACCGTAATTCACGTCGCCTCACTTTGCACCAGCACAAAGCCCGCCTCGCTTATGCCCAACCAAGTCCCCCCCGCCTCTAGCAGCCCTACCAACAACTCCTGCCCGGCACTTCTTCCAGCACAGTCACACCCCCCAAAACTCTCACCGTACTTTCCCGGCCCAACCCTTACCCCACATCGCTCGCCCTTAGGGCGTGTAACATTTTATCGACCAAGCCAAAAATCCGACCAAATGGTTGGGTCATGCGAATATGAATTGTGTAACGCTTGAACGAACCCCGCCACACATTTCGAACAGAACGACCATTCTGTTCGCGATGCTGTGGGGCACCCACCCTGAACTACCCCCGTAATTATATTTAAATGTTTTATCCAAGGTTCAGCATTCGAACAGGGTATGAAAAACATGGGCGCGGAAAGACAGTAGTGTTTAGCAAGTTCATAGTCCTTCCCGAAACAACTTCGGGGGAAATAACTGCATGTCACACACTAAATCCCCACCCTGGTACAAGTCGCGTACGACCGTGATCCAGATTTAATATCAATCAAACTGAAAAATGTTCTGCAGTCAGAGTGACTACAACGTAATGCTAATCAGTGGGTGTAATCCCAAATAGTTCGCAATCGTCAGAACCGCCCAATGGTCGTATTTTCCGGTTGGTCGGTACAATGTTACACGCCCTTACCCCACGGTTCACAGTCCTATCCACTAACGTGCAGTCTGACGCACCGCTGCGTCATCGAGATGCAAGTTGCAATATCAGACGTGGAAAAAAAATCGTCTGAGATTTCAGACATGGAATGGAATTTCGTCTGGAATGACAGACTAGCAAAAATTTCCCGTCCGAACGTCAGACGAAACGGGTTTCCGGGTTTAGGTTTTCAGACAAGCCAAAATCCTAGCGAGAGCCCTGGTGCCATGGTACTATACATTCTTTGTAGTTCGCCCTGAATTTACTGTGGATGGATGCCTAAGGTGTATTGTGTGGATGAAATATTAACATGGTGTGGAAAAAGAATGTAACTGTTAATTCCGTAATGCATACGTAATATCTGTTATGCATTAATGAATCATGCATGCATGTACCAATATAATAATGGATAACATAATATAATGCATAATGCATAAATACCGTATAGTGCGGTATACTGCAGTGGTATACCCATATTTACTTCTGTATACCAGTCCCTTGTATAATGAAATGAACGCACACGATACATGATGGAAATGCGTGATGTTGATTGACCCATACATTAGGCTACCGCATCCCCTGCCTAGCATGGGGGGGAAGTCAATAGCCTAATATATGAACCATCCAACCGTCACATGAAACAACACAATCTGTGAATCCTAAAAAAATGATCAATTCTATCAAATCCAGCTCAAGTGGACACACTCACTGAGTGCGCAAAGAGCCTTCTCGGAAATGATAGGTCGATCATTTTTTTAAAACTAATAGATATGCATTGTTAATGCAATGCATATGAATGAATGTACACACGCACAGACACATACGCACAGTCGCACACACCGTATATGGACACACAAAAACTCGGACACAAAGTAAAAAAAAAAAAAAGAAAAAATCACAGACATGCATTGTTAATGCAATAATGGATGAATGCACACTCAGACAAGCAAACACATTCACAACAAGCACATTCACAACAACCGAACGCATGAAAAAAAAAAAACGAGCCGGAAACCCAAGATTATACATAAAAGAGGCAAAACAAAGTAAAAGGGGCAATATGGTAAATTCTATAAGTGTCAACTACGATTTTCCAGATTGGACTCGCCTTCCTGATCAGCAAGACTCCTGAGAAAAAAAAAAAAAGATAATGAGAAAGGGATGGTAAGGTCAACATAACAGAAAACAAAGCACATCAAACAAAGCAGAAAACAGAAGCATAAAGCGGAAGTATAAAATGGAAGCAGAAAACGGAAGCAGAAAACCGAAGCAGCAAACCAAAGCAGTAAACATAATGAAGGAAGGCAGGAAGGAAGCTTGGAAAGTACGAGGGAAGGAAAGATGGAAGGACAGACGGAAGGAATGAGAGAGAGAGAGAGAGAGAGAGAGAGAGAGAGAGAGAGAGAGAGAGAGAGAGAGAGAGAGAGAGAGAGAGAGAGAGAGAGAGAGAGAGAGAGAGAGAGAGAGAGAGAGAGAGAGAGAGAGAGAGAGAACGAGAGAGAGAGATAGAATGAGAACGAGAGAGAGGGAACGAGAGAACGAGAGAATTGGGACGAGAGAAAGAGAACGAGAGAGAGCGAACGAGAGAGAGAGAGAACGAGAGTGAGAGAACGAGGGAGGGAGAACGAGAGAAGGAGAACGAGTAAGAGAGAGAAAGAGAGAGAGAACGAGAGAGAGAGAGAGAGAGAGAGAGAGAGAGAACGAGGGAGAACGAACGAGAGAATGAACGAGAAATAGAGAGTGAACAAAGAGAGAAGAAAGTAGCGTTCAAGTAAAACTTGCGTAAGGAGATACAAAGTGAGGCGGACAAAGGAGAGAAGTGGACGGACGAGGGGGAGGGGGACGAGCGAGAAAGTTGGACAAGGAGAGAGACGCCATACGAGAAAGAAAACCAATGAGATTATGAAAGATAACGAATAACCGACAGAATTATTAGGCCTTAAGCGACTTCGCGTCAAATAGGAGGTTATGACGGTTCTAGATCTAAGAACAACAAAAAGTGAAATATGCATACGACGAAAGGCTGAAACGATAAAGAACAAAAGAAATAGATGCTAGATATGCAGTAAGAGACGAAGATTAGGACCGAAGAAAGGCAAGGAAAAAGGTGAAGTCTTTACAAACGGCCTCTACCCTTAACTTAAACAATCCGCATCCCTTCTAAACAACTAAGAGACGAGACTAGGAGATGTTAGTCTAGGTTTTAATATTCTAACTTAGTTCTACTAGAAAGCTTAAAAATTTTCTCACCTTAGATTGGTAGGTGGAGCGTGACTAGCGGGAGAATGTCTAAGAAACCTAGCGCAGCGAGAGGAGAGAGAAAGAAACCGTCAAAACCTAATTTGATTGGCTCGCTGTTGATGTGTTCTGTAAACGCAAAGAGAGATGCTACCAATAGCGTCGTAGCGCAGTTGTATTCAATTCGATTTATTAGAAAGGTTGTGGGTTCGAGTCCTGCAAGCCAACTATTGAGCTTTTGCAAACCTCTACCAGAAACAAGTCATACTCGATACTAGAAGTTGCACAAACCTTTACAGATATAGTAAGAGAAAACGAAATTCAAACATTTACATTAATTGTTGCACAAAATGCATTTCTTATGCGAAACGCTTCGCAACCCTAAGACGATTTCGTCGCCTCTTGTTTTGTGTGTATGCTGTAATTTCAGGTTTTTTTAAGTTGTCTTTGCTGAAATATCAGCTTTTTTCCAGTCGTGTGCGCTGTCTCATCAGACTTGTATCGAAGGGCTGGGTTGAAATCACTGTA